GTGTGTGTGTGTGTGTATGTGTGTGTGTGTGTGCTAATGCATACATGCTGCAAGCTATGCATAAGCCTTCATGTCAGCTATGCAATTTTCACTGCCAAAAGCCGCTTTTCAAACGATTTTTCAACAAAAATTGACGTCGTCATGCATGACAGCAAAATTGGTAAAACTTGCAAGTGACATATTGTTAGTAATTTTGTTTCTCTTTTCTTTTCATACGAATTTTTATTATCTCAAATAGATTTTAATTTTTTTTTTTTATAACTTTACTGTTTGATGACGAAAAAATATTTTAATTCTAAGCGTAAATGTTTGGTGAAAGTTTTCCGTATTTTTATGAGTATTTCTGTGGGGACGATGGAAGGAATCGGAAAGTGTTGAAAAAAATTTCACATTAAGACATATGTTTTTTTCTGTCGATTTGTTGTACATAAGTAACCGCTAATAAATAAACCAACGTGCAAAAAATTACCTCAAATATAAAGTAGTAAATACACAATGAAGCTTTTGCATATTCTTCAAAGTGTCTACATAAATATAGCACTAAAAACCATCCACGGGAATTCCCAATAATCGTTCTTTAACGCTTAAAGCTATTATTGTACTAGAAATAAGCTTCAAGGCAGCAACAAGATTTTCAAAAAAAAAACAAATTGCCAAGAGTTTTTTAATAGGTTTCACTGTTAAATTTATTTATTTATTTAATATCGCTTTGTGCATATGTACATATATTTGTGTACGAGCTTACGTACATATGTACCGCTCATTTATTTGTGTAAACAAAATAATGAGAAATTTACGCCAAAAGTCCGAATTCATCTACATATTAAACAGTATTAACCAGCAGCGGCAGCAAGATGCTTGTCTGTAGCAGAAATATTGCTGAGAAAACAGGTATTTTGTTTTGTGATTAACGAGTGCGTCATCTGCTTGCGCGACACACAACAGATAGTCAAAGTTTCACACTGTGAAAAAAAAAAAACGAAACTTGAAAATGAGAAGTTTTGGGAAATGTGTTTTTTTGAACAAAATCGCGTGGAGATCTTGTCTGGCAACGCCTTTTTTGTTTAAATTTCTTAAAAATTTGATTATTGAAATAAATCTGGGTAACTTAAAGTCACGAATTGGGAGTAAAAAATTCTACTAATAATTACTTTCTGAGATATTAAATGTTCGAAAAATCTATAATTCGTTTATATTTAGTATACATTTTCTGACTTTGACTTCGCGGTTATAGTTAGGATGAATATGAACCTTCCAACTAAGCTCTCGCAGCTGTTCTTGAGTCATTTTCAATGAACATGGTCCGGTATTGTCCTGTTGAAAAACAATTCCTCTTCTGTCGGTCAAAACTTGGCACTTCTGAGCAATTGCTTCTGGAACATTTTAGATCCGAATAAAGAGTTTTGTCGGTGGAGATCAGCTTATGATTGTTAAGCCTTTGGCAATCCCACAGAAAAGATTACAAAACCGTCCTCACTATATTAATTTTGAATACCGCTTGCGTCAGCTCATTGTACTTCGACTAAAACCGTTTTCGTATTTAACGTTGCTGTAAGTGCTTCACGTTTCAACCGTTTGAAAAATGTTTCGATTTTGTCATGATTCAGCAACGATTCGCAGATGGATATTCGGTCCACGAGGACTATCCCAAAACTAACTCTTGTACAAAACTTCCCGAAAGAAATCGATGAAACGAAAGTTCTTTATATTTGACTGTTACAGTATCAGAACCATAAGCAGTAGCAGCTTAAACGCTACGCCGTCTTATAAAACGCGGCATACAGATCACTAAAGCCGTAAATTTCAAATATAATGGATTATTTTTTTCTAGACCTTATACTTATTCATTTCAAAATGATCCAAGCCGATGCATTGCACATATACCAAAGGTTTTTCGAGAATTTGTTTATATACACAGAGCGGACTTCAAAACATTTAGTGATTCTCGTTGCATCTCTTCAATGAAAACAAAACAGTTTACTTTGGAACTTGTTGTATAGACAAAAATCCCACGGAACCAGATTAGTCGAATATGGGATTGTGGAACAATATGAATTTAATTTTTAACGATAAAGTCACGAATAAAGTTTTTTTGGAAGCAAACGAGACTCGAACTTTCTAACACCGGCAATTTTTAATAATGGATCCTGTGTCCGCAAGCTGATAATGCAAGCATTAGTAGTGTCTTCCAATTTTTGCTTAAATTATTGGCTGCTCATTAAAAATGGTGGGATTACCATCACAGCTTAAATTTTTTTTCTCTTTTTATCCACCTTTTTTCCCTAACCCCTAGAGGAATGCAAAAAAACAGTATTTAGATTTAAGATCACAATTACCAAAGTAAATAACTTCAACCGAAATATTCAAATAAATTAAAATTTTTTTTAATTTAAATTATTTTCTAATAATAAAATGAAATAAAATTAAATTATGTATTGAAAGAAATTTCTTACAGTGTAGTGTTAGAGGAAGTTTCATGCGCAGCGGGTTTCTTTGAAAACTAGCTATCAGTCAAAGCGGTAAACCCACGGTGACGGGAGTTCACTCTGCCGAGTCAAGGCAAGTCATGGTCAAGGGAATTCGGCATCATGTGTGTGCGGAATACCGTGGAAGTAAAACTGAATTTTGGTGCAGAGGATAGATAATTTGAAATCATATCTAAGCAAAAAAAAACATATGGAAAGGGGAAAGGAATAATTATATAAGTAAAAACATAAATGAAATTAAATTCAATAGATAAAGCACAATGAATTAATGACTTTTTAATTTATATTTTTTATTCCGATGAGAAGTGATAAGTGAAAGAGAACTTGAGCGAAACTGCCAAAGAGCATTATTGCATCAATATTTATTTAGTATTAGTTATTATTTTATTTAGATATTATTAACTTAATATCATTATATATTATTTTATTTTACACTACCGTTTTGAAATTTTTGTTTGTTTATGTATACCGAATTCTCAATATAATCGAATTTTATCAAAAAAAAAAAAAAATTGGATGAAAATATTTTTTTTTATTTAATTTCAAATTAATCAATTAACATTAATACAATACCATTCTCATCGTATAAATAATATATTTCACTGCAATTATTTAACATATAATTGTCACACAATGTATAATAATTACAGACATAAGCAACTTGCCAATAAAGTTTTGTTTCCAATGATTTTATAGTTTGTAATTGCCCTGATATATTTTTATATTTTATTCCATTTAATTTAATTTAATTTTATTTATTTTAACAAGTTTTATTTAAATTTATATTGATTATTTTGCGTTATTTTTATTTATTTATTTTGAACATTTTTTTTTTGTTTTCATTAATTTTATTTTATATTTTTTTAATTCTAATTTTTTCATTTGATTTGAATTTGCTTTTTTTATCTTATTTTATTTACGGTTAAATATAATAAGAGACGATATAAAACTATATATGTACGTACAACCGATGTCAGAGTCGTTTAGGAAAAGAAGGCTAATGATGTGATCATACAACGATGATTCGGAAGACATTTTTCTGCACAAAAAAAATAAACAAAAAAAGTAATTTAATTTAAATTTTTTCTATTTTATTTCATTTTATCTTTTTAATTCTTTTAATATATTTTATTCTTTTTTTTTTTAATTTAACTTAATATCATTTTAATTAATTTTTTAATTAATTTTTTTTTTTAATTTTCAATTATTATTATTTTTTTTATTTTATTTTATTTCATTTTATTTTTTTAATTCTTTTAATATATTTTATTCTTTTTTTTTAATTTAACTTAATATTATTTTATTTAATTAATTTTTAATTTTATTGAATTTGATCTTATTTTAATTTAATTTAATTTATTTAATTTATGTTTATAATATTTTTTATTATATTTTATTTTTTTTTTATTCTACAATATTTTATTTTATCTGACTACATTTTATTTTATTTTATATTAATATATATTATTTCATTTTTCTTTATTTATTTAAGTATAGTTTAGTTTATTTAATTTTATTTTATATTTAGTTTATTTTATTTTATTTTATTTTATTTTATATTTTTTTCTTTCTTTTTTTATTTTATTATTTTTATTTTATTTTACTTCATTTTATTTTGTATTACTTTATTTTATTTTATTGTTTTTATTTTATTTTACTTCATTTTATTTTATTTTTTTTTATTTTATTTTATTTTTTTTTTTATTTCATTTTATTTTATTTTATATTAATTTATTTAATTTTTGTTTAATTTTTTTATTATATTTCATTCTATTCTTTTTTATTGCATTTTATTTTATATTATTTTATTGTACTTAATTTTACTTTAACGAAGGTAATTTAATTTATTTTGTTTTTTATTTCATTTATGTGTCGAATTGCAAAGCTCGGTACAATAAAATGAATGTTAATTTCGAATACATTCCATCGCAACAACTGAAAAATAATTTAAAATATTTCTCAAATATTTTACTTTCAAATTTGGCTAATTAACACGTTTAGCAAGAATATTTTATTACAACAAGCTTTTCACTTCCAAGCGATGCTTAGAACTGATTACATTGCAAAACTAAAAACACAGGTAATTTTAGAAAAAAAAGTTAAAACAAACATATATAAGTTAATATTGTACAATATGTACATATGTACATCGCATGCAGGATTGCCTTATTTCCAGAAAGAAATATTTGAAGATATATTCTAAAAACTGTTATATTTAACATATGTACAACATAGAGTATTGCTTGTTTCTACATACACATATGCTTATATTTATATATCGATACATATATTGTAAGTAAATATGTATTTATTTTATTACCAACAAACACCGCAACTCATCATTTTTTCCAAACCGAAATCAATTCAATTCCAGTCTAAGCCATTTGACCGGTTTTTTGTTTTTATTTACTTTTCTGATTTTTTTTTTTTTTTTTTTGATTGTCAGTGTGATTTTTTCACTTCTGTGCTTTTGCCGTTTAGCCGTTCGCGCTTCAAATTATACTCACACGCAGCAATAGCTCGACATTCAGAATCCGAGTATCAGCCGTGGTACTCGCAACTCCGGCTGTGTGCGCTATAAATTCTAAAAATTGCGACGCGTCAACGATAAAAGTATTCAAATTCAAAAATCAAGCTAAAATAAAATTTTCTCTAAAAATTCCAACACCACGAAATTTGTACCTGACCAAATAACCGTAATTTGGAAAATATTCACAGAGTGGTCTGTTGAATCTGACTGAGTGTGTGTATGTGTGTGCGTGTGTGTCGACGACTGCAATCGGATTACATACATTAGTGTACATCGCCGCACTTGCGCTGCAACCAGGATGTCCAGCATTCGCCAATTCACTTTTGCCTGCGGATTAGTTGTGCTGCTTTTAGCTGTTTGTCAACCAAAGGGTAAATATTTTTGTATAAAATCAAAAATCACTGCTTCTGTATGTACATATGTAAATATATATATTTCACATATGTGTGTCTATGCTTGTGTGGTAGTATGCGTTGTTGTTGCACACCTATATATATATATATGTTTTTATATTTATTAAAAGTTGGCTGTTGGCATTGCAAAAGTGTTGAGCAATTTACCGTTAGATACGAGTAGTTAGCCATTCCTGTGTTGGTTGAATGCCGCACTTCGTGACAGGACAGTGGTTGGTGGTGCTACGCCGCTGGTCAGTAAATTTCATTTGACGCTTGGAATTTATTTTTCGCTTGTCATGGTGTCGGTGTTGAGTTATCAACCAGTGTTTGCTAAAAATTCTAAAAATTTAGGTATTTCGTCAAGTCTCACTTGTAAACACACATATATATGTATATACTTGTGCATGAATATTTGTACATAAAAATGTTTGACAGACTGTTTTTAAGTATTGGAAAGGAAATTTTATTAGCAATAAGGTTTATGAAAAATTTAAGAAACAAAATAAAATAAAAAAATATAATAAAATAAAAAAAATAATAATAATAATTTCTAAATATGTATGTATATTAAAGTATAGCTTTCATTTTGAAGCTTTCAGTAGAATTTTTTTCTTAGAGTAAAATTCTAAAAAAATATTTTTAAATTAAAATTAAAAGCAGCGAACTTAAAAAAATAGTAAAAAAAATTTTAAAATTTATATAGTTTTTTTTTAATAAGTTTAAAGAAATTTCTGGTTAAAAGTGTTTCATAAAAGAAAGTATATAAGAAAGTAAGGATAATCAAGTAAGATCCAACATTACTGCATAGAATTACACAATTAATTATCAAATACAGCAGAATTGAAATCTATTTAAAAAAATCAATTTGGGTCAGTTAAACCTGGGTCATATTTTTGCTATGTGCATAACTTAAGTTAAATTTCTTACTTTAAATAAAAAAACCGATTTTATTCAAAAAAGATTACTTTATTGCTATCGCCGCTGAACCTGTTTGAAGCAAGCATTAATTCCATATTTTTGGGGATTTTTTCAAATTAATGTATTATATTATTGTTGATAATCTTAACTTTCTTTCGACCTTAAATTTTCTAACTTCTAAGCATTTGCAAAAAAATATATGTATATACATATATACAAAGTTGTACCCTTTATTTGAAAAGTTTTTTGTTTATTTGAATTTTTCTTTGTCTTCTCATTAAGAAATTCATTGATTTGCTGGTGTTCATTAATAATAGTTAATAAAAATGTCATAAATTAAAAATCGGCTTTTAATTTTTTTTTGTTTGCCAAAATTTAGACAGATTCATTTGGTTGTTTGCATAATTTAGTAAACAAGTAGAAAATTTGAATTCAACCAGTTTGCTGCGCGTGTGTACTCACCATACATATATAGCCTATATCACAGTCGCTTCGCACATATATAGACTGTATAATAATCTAATCTAATAGAATTACACTTTCCAAATGTTACGATGTTTTTATTTATTTTTCTTATTTTCACTTTATTTATAAAAAATATTTTTATATTTATATTTTACTAATTTTAGTTTAATTTTAATTATTTTATTTTATCTTATATCATTTTTTATATAATACTACATTTTATTTATTTTTTTTTACTGCATATTATTTAATTTTATTTTAATTTACTTAACTTTATTTTGTTTTCATCAAATTTTTTACTTTTTAGTGCATTTTATTTCCTTTACTTTATTTAGTTTAATTTTTATTTTTCATTATTTTATTTTTTTTTATTTAAGAAGAGTTTTTTTTTATTTTTTTCACTTTTGTTTATTATTCAATTGCTTTTATTTTATTTTGTTTAATTATATTTTTTTATATATTTTATGATATGAAATTTAATTTTATTCCAATTTACATTATATTAATATTTTATTATATTTATTATATTTTTTTAATTTTATTTTATTTTGTTTTGTTTAATTAAACTTAATTTAATTTATTATTTTCAAGTTTTTTTATTTTATTATTTTATTTTGATTTATATTATTATTTTTTATATTATTTTATTTTGGTTTTCTTATTTTATTTAATTATATTTTATTTTTTTTTTATTTTAGAACATTTTATTTTAGTTTGTTTCATTAAATTATATTTTTTATTAATTTTTTTTTAAGTTTTTTGTTGATTTGTTTTATAATATTTAATTTTATTTTATTTTAAATTACATTATATTAATTTATTTTATTTTATATTATTTTTATTATTCTAAGTTATTTTATTTGGTTTTTTTTCTTATTATATTTTATAATATATATTATTATTTTTTTATACTTATTAAATCCGTCTCTGTAATTCAAGTTTTTATATAATTTAATTGTATTTGTATATTTATTGACTCACCACGAAGATGCCACGAAGCACTCACCGCAATTATTTTTATTTCTATTTAATTTTTGTTCACCATGCACTCGTCACATACTCACACCTTTCTTTCTTAAAACTCTCACTTGCAGCCGCACATGCGCAGTTTTTCTATCCACAACAGCAGTTCTATCAGCAACCGCGACGCGTTAGTCGACAAGGATCCGTTTCTCGTGCAAACAGCAATGCCTTTGAACGACAAATCGATTATGGTCCATTCGGCCTAAACGAAGGTGTGTCTAATTCACGCGCCGTCACGCGTCAAAATGGCGGCCAACGTAACGGTGGCACCACAAGCGTGGCGAAAAGTAATGCCATCTCCCGCGAACTGAATCTGGGTCCACTGGATATCGGCAGCACACTTACACGCACCAATACACGTACAAACGGCGCCGTGTCGCGCGGTATAGCACAAGAGTTTAATATTGATAACCTTGGTTTTGGTGGTTCCTTATCACGGGATAATCTACGCCGAGGATTTGGTTTAGCGCGCGATCCCAATGGCGGCACTGATCTAAATTTGGGTTTACTTAGCTTGAATGTAGATCCGAATTACCAGAAAAATAATGGTCAAGCTTTAACGCAGGCGCAAGTGAATGCACAAGGTCGTGGTGCACGTGCACGCGCCAACAGTAACTCAAATACGCAAACGCAACAGTTCGGTGGCTTGCAAGTTACCGATACGCGCTCGCGTTCGAATGCTTTTGGACGTGTACGTAATGGACAGACTTCAGCCAATACCGCTGGATTTTCTGGTGACGCTAACACAAACGCCAACTCTTTCGGTCTACCTTTCTTCCGTCGCAGACGTGGCGTTCGTTACGTGCAACCCAGTATTCCTCAGTTACTACTCACACGTTCCAAGCGTTACGCGCGCCGTTCACACCATCGGCAACCCGATGGTTTCATATTCCCCAGCGAAAATAATGCACAATCGCAGGGCACTGCTGAAAACAAAGGAGCTCTATTCAACCAACAAGCCGGCTCTAACTCGCATTCCAACAATCGTGTTACGGAAGGTGGCATCTCACAAGATAATGGTGCTTCCAGCATTGGCTCGAATGTGGCCAATGATGGGTCGAGCGGTCAAGTGAGTTCGGCGAATGTGAATAATATGAATCAACAAACTAAAGATGGCAGTTCCAGCTCGAATGATGCACAGAGTCAAGCACTCAATTTTCAAAAAAATCAACAGCAGGCCTCCTCGGCCAATGCGGGCACAACGCACACTCGTAACAAGAATGGCGAAGACATTAGCTCGCATGGCAACTCGCAGTCGACTAATAACAATCCATTTGGCACATCGAGTAATACGGCCAATACGAAAACGAATGTAGTGCGTGATGGTAACTCGGAACGCGTCACAGCGGATTCCAGCAGTCAGTCCATATTCCAGGGCGCAAATGGTCAAAATGCCGGCGCAACTACAAACTCAAATGTTAATTCACAAAGAGGTCCAGGTTTTGTGAGCAACTCTGCGTCCAGCAGTGCAACGGCCAACAGTCAAGGCGGTGGCGATGCCAATGCATCGGCATCAGCTTCGTCCTCTTCATCGGCAGGTGGTCCTGGCGGCAGTAATGCGTTTACCAACGCAAATGCTAATGCTGGTGGTGGTGGCTTCAATGGTTTTAACAATGGCTTTGGTGGCAACGGTTTTAATAACGGTTTCGGTAATAACGGCTTCGGTAATTTCGGTGGTGCGCAAGCCAATAGTGGTGCACGCGGAGGTTGGGGTGGCGGTTGGTATTGAAGGGAGTAATGAAGGATAAATCTATACGAATTTCACTTTTGAGGAAATTTTACTGGAATATAAATAAACTACTTTAAATGTAATATTTTGTTTTGATTTTTTGTTTTGTGTTTTTGTGTTTATCGGTTACCTGTTTGCACAATTTCTTTGTTTTTGGGGTTAAAAATGAACAGGAAAGGTATGGATAGTAAGAGGTTGAGTGGACGCTAAAAAGAGCGTCTATCTAATGTTCTCAGCTACTTTGCATTAGTGAGTTAACACATTTTCGGTCAATTAACAGAAAATGTTATGTTAACAGTCGATACTGTCACTGCTATTGTAACCATTTCGGACGTTTCTTGTCACGGTAGTGAAATTTTTTCAATTTTTCTCTGCAAAAATTTCTAAAGTAACTGGCGAAGAGAATGTTGTCCACTTATTCAAAAAAAAAATTTATGTATTGAGTGCATAAGTTCGTGCCCGATTCCGCTGGATGCCGTTCGAATCGTTTTAGAGTGGCGCTCGCGAAAGAAATATATACATATTACATATCGTTGGAAAGGTGACAGTCCGAAGACGTCAAAAACCACCTTAACACCTTTTCCAACGAAAAACCGCGCGATTTCTATGAATCAGGCATCCGTAAATTGGTTGAACGTTGGGAGTGGATTGCCGAACATGATGGCAAATACATAATTGATTCATAAAAGCGCTTTCTTCAAAATATTTCAATTTTAGTTTGCACTTGAAATCGGGCACGAACTTATGCACTCATCCAATATATATAGAAAAAATAAACTAAAAGATATTGTGGAATTGCAAGCGATCCCCTTAACATAAAAATAAGCGTGGCTGTGGCAGCCATCAGCTGATTTTGAAATATTAATATTTTTAGGTAACCCCTAATTCTTTGATCCTTGTGGTCAGTTGTGACACTTGATATAGCCATTGAAAAGCCTTGGAATTAGGAAAACTTAACATCTGTTTCTGACATGAGCTCTCAGCTGCTTTAATGGCTTAGGCAGCTACTCTACTCGTCTCACAGGAAGGACTGCATCTTAAGGATTTCTTTTCAGTTTGGCTCCTTTCTAATCATATATGTAACTACCATTATACGATACATAGTCCCAATTACAATTCACTGAAAAGGGCTATGTACTGCTGAGTAAATTTAGAATGATATGGGTAATATTCAGAAGCAATAATTATTATTATTATCCGGTATTTTTTTCTGTATTGTTTTTAAGATAAAAAACCTAACAGTGAGCTTAATTCCTTCTTATTATTTTTGATTTTTAATGTGAATAAATATACTAAAATTTTACATTCAATTAATAAACCATAAATATTTGCAAAATTTTTATTTTCCTGCACTATTGTGAATACTCAATACGAATGCAAGTGGCAACTTTCACAATTTACACTCCACAAAGCAGCACAACAACGCACACATGGGAGTCGTTTCATTAACGACAGCATGAAAAGCTTAGCATACTTTCAGGCATCGAAATATTACTCATTGCTTTTATTTATTACAGACATGGAGAGCCGGTGGTCTGTAAATTTGAATCAAGCACAAAAGACGCCCATTGAACAGTGGCAAGGTCAAGGTCAAGGTCAAGGTCAAGGTCAAGGTCAAGGCCAAGGCATAGGGTTTACGTCACTACCGTATCAACAACAACAGGGTATGCCACAAGCAACTTATACAATGGCACAATGGCAGCAAATGCAGCTACAACAAAAGCAGCTACAGCAGAAGCAGATACAACAACAACAGCAGCAGCAAAGATTAGCCGCCGAAGTTAGCGATATGAGAAAACCAATTATTTACTATAAAAACCACAACAACAATAACAATGATAATAACATTAACTACAATAGCATACCGCCACTGCCACCGTCACAACAGCAAAAACCGCAATTGCCAGCAACACATATATTATTTAACAATCCCCAGCCAAATTACAACTACTACAATAACAATAGATACCCCCCACAGACGCGACAGCTGCCACGCAACTACACCTATCTGTATGGGAAAACGGCGCGCAACAACAACAACTCAAGCGCCGAACAATTCGAGACATTTAATTCCACACAGCGAAGTGCACGCACTTTTGGTTTCATCAGCGACTTCATAACGGGTTTAATACAACCTTGCGTCGATCCATGCACAATCACGGCTTACTATCAGAACCGTTGTTGCAATGCTGTGCCTATTCCTCAGCCACCACTTTGCTGTCCGTATCCACCGTTGCGACCACAACCGCCTATTATGCCACCCATACCACCACCACCACCACCGCCACCAATCAACTGTTGCAACACCTGCAGCTACGGTTATTATGGTCCAGCGCCTTGCTTTTACAATGTCGGCGGTGGGTTTAGAAGAGAGAGGAATTACTTCGGTGGTAATGGTGGTTTTCTTGGTGGCAGCTTTCTCGGTGGGGGTTATCCAGGCGGCTTATACCTTGGTGGCAATTTGGGTAATCCAGGTTTCAATAGTTTAGGAGGGCAAATCGGTTTATCACTTCCGCGGCCAGCGATATTTGGTTAGCAATAAGCTACCTTAACATTTAATTTTTAATTTGTGATTGTAAATATTTAGGTGAAAAATTATTATTTAAGTTAGTTTTAAATACATTGGCTGCTGTTGGGTCCTACATAAATCATTGCAGCCTAAAATCAAGCGGAGATATCACCTGAGTTTAGATTGGTTTAGGTTGCCTTAGGTCTACTGCAGACGATTGTTGTGACTTCCACTGAAAGATCCTGCGAAAATGTACGCTTTGGTGTTAACCCAACGGTCGCTGAGCAGACTTGAGATACTTATGGGGTATATACGATATGGTTCTCAAGTATCCAAAAACAACTCCAACCGTTCCCTGCCCGATGATATCTAAAATTCACATCATCAGGCAAGGATTTTGCTGGGATGCGATTACCATGGAAATTCATTTATATATTTGAAACTGTACCTTATGGGCTAAATCTTTAACGGAAATACTGTTCCAGAGCAGTAGGTCTATAGATTTCTTAATCACAAGCCCTACCACATGGCCGAGTAGGAATTGTTCTGAAGATTCTTGTTTCGTGCGAAACGGCCCTAAGGCTCTATACCATCGGCTCATTGCATGAGAAATGCGACGCTGTAGGCTGCCAAACTGGAGAAGGCCGAAGAGAAAAACGAACAGTCGAATACATAAGCATGAAGAGCTTGAAATTCTGACAGATATGTTTCATACTCGAAAATGCTATGAAAAGATGTGGTGACTTTCCGAAGTTTTCAAAAGAGAAGCATACTTCTTTGAACACGAGAAATGGGATCTGGTGATGATATAAAGAGTATACTAAGCTTTCACAAGGACCACTTAATCAGCCTGCGGATATAAGTAATAATGCTATACTTGGAGATAGCAAACCCGAATACCCAACCGACTACAACTGAAGAGACATACTCTTGTAAAAAGAAATGTGCTTGATTTTTAAGTGTGCTCCGAGCAATCCTTAAGAAGGATCGGATCATGTATTCCATCTGTCTGTTGGACAAAACTCATTTATATCGTATATTATGTTATAATTATTTAATGAATTATGTGAAAGAGCGAAACCCAACATCAAGACATTAATCTGGCCGTATTGATGTAGGCTTAAAAAATCACCATTCCTGGGAACCCTGGAAATAATCTGCGCTGGGATGAAAAGTTACTGCGTCTACCCCACCGTATTTAAATTTGACATCCCCGCAAAACCAGCTACAGGTGAGTTTGACTAAATAGGCCGTTGAGCAGTAAGCTCCTCTCTAGACGATCAAAAGACAAGCTCCACAAGTGGGTCATTATCCTACTTTTTGAAAGTGGATCACGGGCATTGATAACACTCGGGATATACGATTACATTAGCATAGATCTTTGTATTAGCAGACGGTGCTTACTCAGCCTAGCAGTGTTCATTGATGGAAGAAGACAAAAAGGAAGCTCGACCTGCAATAGCTTGGAAATATCAGCTGTGAAAGTACCTGACTTCGTTTGATGCCGATCCACGATCAGAAACGTGGATGGTGAAAAGTAGGTGGCATTCAAAAGAGCAGACCGATAGATGGGCAACTTATAAATTTCAATCATAAATATGTTTTTATTTCGAATAGGACAGTCTTAAGTCCACTTCTCGAAAAAATTTGTTCGTAGAAACCTTTTCAGGAAACTTTCAAACAAATTGACTAATTTTTAATAAAATCTGAAAGGTAGTTTCGGATGATAGATGGTGTTATTTATCTGTATCTCGCATTGTATAAGTCCGAGCGGGTTCTGCTATTGGCGTTAGAAAGATGACATTTTGTACTAAAAAATCTTTTCGGAAAGCTTTGTGATTGGTTGATTCAGCAAAGAGAAATTACTCTAAAATTTATTCGATGAGGCCGAAAACGCAAGTCAGGCGGCTGTTGGTTCTGACACTGTAACAGCCAATAACGCCCAATTTTGGTTTCGTCGATTCCGTTCCGGTAATATCGATGCCAAAGAAGGACTACACGCTGGAAAGCCAATTGTCGAAAATGTTGATAAAACCATGGACATTGTCGAGTCCTACGGTCCAGTCAGCACTGTTTTGATTTCCCAAACCTAAGGATTGCACAAAAGAAAGTTTGGAACAATTTGAGCAAGGTTTGGATACACAAGGAAGCTCGATGTATGAGTGCCACACACAGCATGGACCGAATTTCCATCTGCGAATCGCTGCTGAATCGCTGGCGCTGAAAAGCGGATAACTTACGATAACGTCAAGGGAGAACGGTCGTGGTTAAAACTCGTTGAGCCGGCGAAAACAGTGACCAAACCAGAACTGACAGCCAAGAAAGTTTTTCTGTGTGCTTGGTGAGATTGGCACGAAATTATCTGCTATGAGCTACTCCTTTATGACAAAACTCTCAACTCGGGACTGTATTATCAACAATTGGACCGTCTGAATTGGTCGATAGGAGAGGAATTGTATTCAGGACAACGCCAGGCTACCCACATCGATAGTGATTTAATACTAGCTGCGGGAGCTTTGCTGGGCGGTTTTTGTGCATCCAATTTCAGGTCCGGACCTGGCACCAAGTGATTACTATCTGTTGCTGGGGAACGATTTCGCTGGTGAAAAATGCGCTTAAAAAGAGCGTTTTGAAAATCGACTGTCTCAATCTTTCGCCAATAGGAACGAAGCCTCCCAAGAGAGATGCATAATAAAACTCGATTTAAAATGGCAACAAGCGTAACGGCGCATAGTTGACCAAAATCGAATCATTCTAAATATTAAAGCCTTCAATTTCATATAAAAATAATGGATTTCTTTTTACTACAACTACTTTTATGTATTGATATAAGTTCTGTTTTGCAAAAACTGCTCTAATTCAGGTCGTTATGGTATGATGTAATCCCATGAATAATAGTTAAAAACTTAAACCTCTATCAACTTGCATACACCACCAGTGCGCGACACTTACATAAATACTAACGCGCACATCAAACTGCAGAGAAAGACCAAAAAGTGCACGAACTTTCTTATCGTCAAGTTGACGCCAAGCGACGTTAGCCAAGGCCATCAAAGAAACGCTGGAAAAACCCTGCCAATTCGTGAAATGCATGCAGAGCGTGCGATATGAGTCATTCCAGCCCCATTGTTGTTCTTGAATTGAGCAGATTATAGTAAGACAACAGACCAGCTGAAGCAACATGGTGAGATAAATGGAAAACAACTCGCAGAGGAGCTAGAGTAGACAAGAAAGAAACAAAGGAGGCGGCTCAAGTTGAATTAAAAGGGAAAATACTTTCAGAAACTGTGTCACAGTGTTGCTGATAAGTCATGTGCCAACAGTTGGTTGCACATTTGGCTTAGTTGAATGTTGAAATTCAAGAAAGCACAAAATAAAAAGTTGCATTTCTTTAGTTACGTTTATTTATTTTTATTTAACGTTTATATATTCAGTCTAATCGTCCGATGTAGGCCAGCTCAGATCTCGTCACCGTTCAGTTGTAATAGCGACGTGCACTTAGCTTAACACGTTGACGTCCACCCTTGCGTACCGCACGCACTACTTGGGGTGTGTCCTTAGCGGAGTAGAGATAGAGTGGGATCTCCTCAACACCGGCTTGCAACTGAGATGTGCGCACAACAGCTGGACGTGAGATCTCATCGGCTGCCAAACGACGCACGGCCTGTACATTTGCTGTCGCCAGCTTAGTCTTATCCACAGACAAATTATCCAAAAGTTGATCAACATCGTCTTCAGCAACATTCAATGGCTCATCTTCTGGGCTGGGTTGCTCACTGACTACAGCAACTGGCTTCTCTTCAGCCTCCTGCTCACTTTCACCTTCCTGTGCTTGATTCAATAGACTTTCAATACTTTCCAAATTAGCTAGGCCATTCAGCTCGAGTTGTTGATGCAATTCACTGGGTATGGCAATGGCTTGTACATCGCGGTGACCGGAAATGCCATTTGGTGTTGGTATGAATTGTACGTCAGCGGGTATCTCGGAAGTTGGATAGACTGGCACTAGTTCGGCTTCGTTTTCGTCGCTCGATTTTAGCAGAATCAAGGAGATTGGCACGATCTTCTTGAATTTCAACAGCACCAATTTCTTGATAGCCAAAGCACCGGGGAAAACACGCGCTTGTTTGTGTGACAAGGCACGTTGTGTATTGGGATGTGGACGACGACCCGCTAAGCTGCTATAAACAGGTTCGTAAGCATCATCATCGTCATCATCAACTTCGACATAACGGCTCTGCTGGCGTGGCACATGACGAGCTGTGGAGATGAAAGGGAGAATATTGATTTTAAATAAGTGTGGATGGAACAAAGATTTAGATTGTATTGTAGAGTTGACATTTATGGTATATGTTTATGTCTAATAAAGTTTCGGTCTCGAGGTGCCAGGGGAATCGATTTATAGGATGTGTAGTTATTCAGGTAAGCGGAAGTGACCTGAAAGCATTATTTTAAATAAGGCTCCAGCGGTCCTAAGTCCTTAACCAAGTATCTCCTAGGTAGACAATGAAACTCCACTGGGGAACTGATCGATCCCTTAATAGGGAAATCGCCGCTGTCTAGCTGATTGATGTCCTCGTTAGACCAAAGTCTGACATCACCTCAGTTCAAGAGTTGCGATGAATGAGACAGATACGAAAAAGCTGGGTATTTGCGGTCACATCGAGGAGTGCAAATTATGTGTTGTATTTGTGGTGAGAGGGAGAATCCGTAGAAACGTTGCGCCCCCTTTCATATTAAAGCGAAGTTTTGAACTCGCCACTAATTTTTGTAGACGTCTCATGGGAAGAGAGGGATGGTTTTACCAAAAATGCTGTATAAAATAACAAGAGCTGTAGGGCTCAATAGAGGAGATACAATCTTTACAAGTGTTCACCGTTAGTTCTGCTTTATCCAGACTGGAGATATAGGCGAATCGTATAAGTCTGATAGCGAACGAAATATATGAACGAATACAGAAGGAGTGAAAGGCCCATACTCTTTTGAAAAGATCAGGTGACGAAAGAAGTTGCTTTCCTTGATATGTCCAAGGGCTTGAAGTAGTGAAAATAAAAAACTGACGCACGGTGGGTTGCCTACATAAATGGAAAAGAGGAAAATATGCCTTACAGACTGATTCAGAATATTGGCGTCAGCGCTCAATATGTCCCTTTGATCACAAGGCCAAGTGAGTTCCCTCTTGAAGAGATCTGATACAGTTCAGAACACTAAGGAGTATTTGTCACTGTCCGTCAAAATGCCATTATACCCTTCTGATTACTCAATACCATTCGGCCTGAAACATCCGTTATTATAGTTGGCTTAGTAAAAAGTACTCCATTATTTTTCCAATAAATGGCCTTATATTTCTGTGTCTCACATTTTATAAGTCTGAGCGGGTTCCGCTAGATGACGTTAGAAAGATGAAATTTTGTACTAAAAACTCTTTTAGGGAAGCTTTGTGATTGGCTGATTCAGTAACAATGAGAAATTACCCTATACTTAACAGTTTTTCTTCGATGGAAACGCAAGTCAGGCGGCTGATGGTTCTGATACTGTAACCGCCAATAATGCCCAATTTTGGTTTCGTCGATTCCGTTCCGATAATTTTGATAGAAAAGATGTTTCACGGAGTGGAAGGCCAATTGTCGAAAATATCGATAAAATCATGGACATTTTCGAGTCCGACCGTCATGTCAGCACTGCTGCAATTGTCCAAGAGCTAAAAATTGCACAAAAAACTTTTTCGATCTATTTGAAATAAGGCTGGATACGAGAAGACACTGTGTTTTCAAGTTGTGTGGATGACTTCTAACAGGAAACATTTCCAGCTATGAACCTCTGCGGGTCACCGTATCAGATACTTTTTAAAAATATTCAAGTATGAAAATTACTAAACTCAAAGATGATAATCTAAAGCAGATACGATGCGTTTACAGTTAGACCTACACTTATACATACAGTAGTTGCAGTATTCAGTTTTCTTTTTGGAAAATACCGAAGGTTGCTTAGTAAAGATGAGCTTCTACCAACTTTTGCCGACAGACCGTTTACCGTATTTTATAAAAAAAAATTAAAAATTATTTTATTATAGGCTTAGAATATTAAAAAAATCAAAATACTCTTTTACTGCTCAGTTGCTACAATTTACATGAAACTCACATTACAACAACAACTGCAAAAATGTAAGCTAATAATTTCCTTTAATAGCCGTGAGTTTGTATTCAAAAAAAAAAAAAAAATTAACGACTTTAGTTAAGCTTTCTCTTGGTAGCTTTTTTCACTTCTTCTCTTCCTCTTACCTTGTGCTAAACAGGCCAACACCAAAACGAGAAAAGTTAGGCTTAAAACGCTTTTGAAATTCATTTTATACACTTGCAAATTCTTTGCGACTCACTAATTTTAATACAAAACAAGCTGAAGCGACACTCTTTCTTATGTGTCTTCTGTAAAGCGCGATAACTAAATGCTTAAAGGCACCAATACCCATAGACTTTTTATATGGACGAAATGTAATCGAAGCAGAAAAAACAACGGAAAGAAACTAAGAATTTATGAGCAAAATTGCAAAAAGAGTTCTGAAATCGCTAAAAAAAAAAAAAACAAATAAAGTTGAAGTGGAAAAATTTAAAAACATTAACTAATATTCAAATAGATATAATAAAAACTCAAAGCAAATTAAACAAAGTAATAAATTTGACATGAGTGAGCATCATTTGTTCACAACGAAAGTCTCACTGTGAGCGGTAGAAAACGCTGGCGCACTGACGCTGGGTCAGTTGCGGATATTTATGTACGTACGAGTATGCAACACTCCGACAACTGTTTCAAAGAAAGCAGTTACTATGCAGGAAAGATAAGCGAAATAAATAAACCGAATTTTATAAAACAAAGCAAGATAAAGAACCAAAATCAATGCAAAGTTGGTTATTCACAATCAACAAGTGGCACAATTAGATGCAAAACTTCGAAAAAATGGAAGAGAAATGCTAATTTTGTATAATCTTAGCTGCGCTGATTTATATGCCAGCTAAAGAAAGCTCCTCAATAGCGCACAACTTCTTCAATGAGGGGAACCTGCCAAGCCCAGACATAAGCTTAAACCGTTAGCTACACTTTGTTGTCTACCTGGCAGAGTCTTTATCATCAATTCAATTTATACATATACAATATATATACATATATAATTGGCGCTTTGTAAACGCTGTAGCGATTTTCGTCCGAGCTGCTCCTCCAATTAGTGGTTTTGCGTCTTGATGTAAGACCAACCAAAGGAGAGCTTACAGTTTATGCTAAGCCGCCTACGAACAGCTGATGGTTTTTTATGAGGAGCCTTTATTTCATGTCCGAAAAACACTCGGAGGGGTTAACATTCCCCGCTGAGGAGCGAACCCGAAAATTTAGCTTCATTTCTTATTTAAATTAATTTTCTATAAGTTTTTGGCTGTTAGTCCGACACCAGGACTTGAGCCCTGGCCTTCCGAATGGCAGTACGCAATGCTAACCACTCGGCTACAGCGGCAGACATATGTAATAATAAAAAAAACTTTCCTGGCAAAAAATTTGGATTTGTAGACCATTTGTGCCGGCTCCCTGCCTTCAAATACGACTGTTTTCACTTGAAATTACTGTAGGTTATCCAGCTTTCATCACCAGTTACCAACTGATTTAGTAATAGGTCGATTTTGCTTTTATAATAAATAGCAGAGATTCCTAGATTAAAATTCGGTTCTTTCCGGTTAACTCATGTATTACCCATACGTATATCGAGCTTCTTTCTGTTTCCGACCTTGCTTAAGTGGTTCCAAACTGCTCTTTGTACAGTGTTTAGTTTGTGGACACACAAAACACTGCTTACACGACGGTCAGACTCCACGATTTTCATTATTTCATTAACTCTTTCGACAATTGGTCTCCCACACTGGGAAGCATCTTTTACATCAAAACAGCTGCCTAGCTTAGTGAGGCAGTAGAAACTGAATTTTCCAAGAAATCGCTGGACGTTATAGTGTCCAGCAGACTCCTCTGCATCCACAGCTCTGCATCTGGAACGCAAATTATTTAAGAAGCAACCCATTCTTATAATGGTGCTCTGTTTCTATGTCAGTTGTAATGCTGTTGGTAACCCTATCAAAAAGGCGTAAGTTTCTTGCACTTTATATAGGGTTTTCCAATAAGAGTTGTATGATGTCTAAGCGTCTTTTTTCATTGTATTCAGTAATGTTTGGTGTAGTTTTTGGTTTGGTCCCATCCATACTTCGATAGAAATGAAGCTGGTAGCACTGTTACTGTCATGGGAGTGCGGTATAGATCGATGATTACCAACTCTTTGTGGCCACAATTGAAAGAAGTTGACATTAACAAAATCAGGTTCCAACAAGAACGGGCTACGTGGTACAGAGCATATGCAAAAACTAAATTATTGCGAGAAAGATTTTCAATTTCGATTATTTCAAGAAATTGTGACATTAAATAGCCTCCAAGAAGTTGTGATTTAACAACATTAGACTTCTTCTGTGGGATTATCTGAAGACATTGATATTTAGTAAAAAACCAGACTCTCTTCAAGCTTAAAAAGTCGGTATTGAAAGTGCTATTTTTGACATACGTTATCTCCGGATACTCCATTTTCACTCTTATTCAGCAAGCTGGAGAAGTGTTCCTTACATAAATTCCGGATACTCTGACCATCGTTGTCTGGATCACCTCCTTGTGTCGGCTCCGGTCTTGAAACTTTCTGTAAGTCGTCGTATTAACTCATAGAATTTTCGGTTAGCTTTTCAAGCTCTTCAAGCTCACGCATCTAGGCCTCTTTCTTTTTTTTGTTTGCATAAGCGTTTTGCTTCCCTCTTCATCTCTCTTTATCTATCCCATCTCGCAGGTGTTGTGGTCGATCGTAAGGTTGCGAGGTAGGCAATCGGTTTTCTCTACTCTGCGACACAGTAGTCCTCATCGTACCAGCTATTTTTGCGACCTTTGCGAAGTCCAACAACTTTGTTTGCAGCTGTACGTAGGCAGTTCGTAATGCCGATCCACAGGTTCCGTATACCGAGTTGCTGATGAGTGCTCTGAGAGAGCAGGAATGCAAGTCAAGTAGAAAACCGTTCGGCAGTCTGTGTTATTGTAGGTTTTTGACGTCGAACTTTCCTGGGGGCCGTGTATAGAAGTACACTTAAGTGAGGCACATGCGTATCTTCGCTGCGACAAGATGTTAGGAGCTCGGAACGTGCGTACATCCAAAACACTGTATACATGTCTACTATATTGCGGGCCGCGGCGAA